GGTAATAAGTTACTTTTCACTGAAAACCTGTATCCCTCAAGGGCACAACGATGGAGGGACGGCTAACTCAGGCAATTTAGTTAAAGCTGGAGGCAACTTGGCTCCACTAAGAGCTCTCAGGTGTTAAACTTAGGCTTTAGTCAGAATCAGAAGCCCAAAATCCTGGGGGAAGGGAGTGTCAAGAATATCAGATGAACTCTGTTTCCAAATGTAACCCCAACCACTACTTCATGAACGTGCCCTGATTTACGGAGGACCCAGATGGAAAACCTGGCAATGTGGCAGGACTGTCCTTGCGGCTGGGTTACAGCATGAAGATTTAAAGCCTATTTATATCTACTTGCTTCCAAGCCGATATGCCTCAAAGGGTCATATCCAATCTTGTTGCATTGTGTTCAAGTTCATAGTTACCAAGTTAAGCTCTAAAATTGTTTAATCCATAAAGTAAATTTATTGTTGGGGAAACACTATCCTATGTAACTCAGTGTCCCCTAAGAGGATACCATATGACAGCAGAGTACAATAACTGATGTCCATTTATTTTGTAAAATCCCAGAGATAGGAAAAAAAAAAGTTATGTGTTCTGTATATTATTTAATAAGACAGGAAAGTATATATTTTTATTGGCCATAAAAGATAGCTAAACCAAAAACGTATTGGTGCTCAAAAGAGTAAGATCAAATTCTAGAGGTTTCCCTGTATGCAGCAGACACAAGTTCACTGACACCTCATTTCGTAACCTCGCCCCGTCACATGCTCTGGAAGGCAGCACCGCCATCTCCATCCGCGTCCTCGAGGAAGCGAACCTCCTGGGTAGGGCACATGGCTCCTTCCGCCTCGTGGCCTGTGGGACGACAGATGTTGGATAGGACTTCTGAAACAGCCCTGTCCCATGCACCACCCACAAAGAAACAGGAAAAGGGGATCTAACTAGATCACAGATGATAAAGTCAGGGGTCAGGATGGAAGGGACAGCAAAGAGAGGTCCTGATGTGTGTGTTAGGGACTAGGAATGAAAGGATTAAGGAGAATGTGTAACATCTGTTGAGCACTTAATGTGTCAGGCACCTCGCTAAGAACTTTACAACCTTTGTATCCTTTCATCTTCACAACAGCCCTATGAGGAAGATTATTACTATAGAGGTATTATTATGGGGCTATAGTGGACAGTCTGTCATCTCCATTTCACAGATGAGGCCCAAGAAAGGCAAGTAACTTCCCAGAGGCTATTCAGCTGGTGGAGCCAGGATTCAAACTCAGGATTATCTGTCTCCAGCGCCCTTGACCCCTGCCTCTGGACCCTTGCCCCTTAGCAGAAAAAGTGCTGGGCATGACACATCAAATGGGCAGAACATCAGCACCCCAATGAAGCTGCTTCGGTCATGCCCACAGGAGGCTGTGCATTTATTCCCGGGATGTGAGAATAAATGGGCTCAGACCCTTCTGGAATTGCCCCCTGTGCTCATTATCACCTGAGGTCCAAAAGTCAGCCTCATGATCTCCCAACACTCTTCCCAATAACCCTGATGAGGATTCCCCAGCCAGTTTACTCTCCTCCCCCCCAAACTCGGCCCTGGGTTATCCCTAGTTATTTCCAATCACACCCCGCCTCCCCCCAAAGGATGCAGATGTCCTATGACCCTGGGCACATAAGGAAATGCATCATGGGCCTTCCCTGAGGGCAGATCCCCAGAGGAAAGCTGGCCCTAACAGTGCCATCGTCACCACAGTGAGAGTTCCTCCAGCAGGGGGATGGCTTTGAAGAACCATGACAAGCACTTGGAAGTGAAAACTTGGTACTTTCCATGAGTCCTCACTCCCCAACTCCATCACAGTCCGCTTGGCCCTCAGCAGGCAGTGGGCAGCAGCAAGGACTAAACAAGAGCCAGCAGGGGGCCACTCCTGTCCTACCTCACCTTGCCCTTGGACCAGCTCCTCTTACTTGGCTGGATTCAGATCTGAGGAGACCATGAACACACCAAACATTAGGTAAATATTATACATTGGGTTACAACCCAAACATGTAGAGAGACATAGGTTATTAACATTTCAGATCTGCATGCAGCCATCTCCAGAGACTCCCTGCTCACATCCTTTGCTTTTCCCAGGATATTCACCCCCTAGCCCCTCCCACCTCAGCTCAGGCTCAAACCGGAAGGGTGCACCTTGGCAGCAGGAGCAGCGCGGCCAGGCTTGGTTCTCCCACTTGTGGAATGGGGTAAGTCACATGCACGCTGGACTCCTTGGTTTTCTCACCCAGATTCAGAGGTGATGACCCAGCATGGTTTCCCAAAATGTGGGGGCTGAGGGATATGAGGGTCACAGCAGGCTCCCCACAGAGAGCCCCTCTGCTTCTCAGCGACCCCACCAAAAGTTTAGCATGGGGTGTGCAGAGCACATTGGAAGTGAGGGAGTGACATCTGGCCTCTGAATGGCTTTGATGTAGGCGTCCAGAGCATTAGTTAATTTTCCCAGTGTTTTCCACAGGAAAATGCAAAGTAACTTTGCAACGAAAATATGGCTCCAAAGTAGGAATGCGGCAAAAATGTAATGAGGTATTAAAAAGCAACTCTGTTACTCTATGAAAACACAAAACAGATAAGCACTGCGACTGAAGTTATATAATGGCTCCTGTTTTCTGAACCGGTCCTTATCTGATTGAAGACTTAGTTACCACATAGCTATTATCAGTCCCCCCCCCACACACACACACACACACTCACTCCAGATTTAATAAAGTCCAAACCTGCCTCGATGACTTACCCTGAGGGGCTTCCGGAACTTGGTCTGAAAACTTAAAACTGGGGAAGAGCAAAGCCAGTTCTCGGCTGGCGTCTTCTCTATCCCGGCTTCCATGGACCGCATTCAAGGGCATTTCTGTGCCGTACTGAGCGCGGAGACTGGGAACATTGGCAAAATGTACAAGACACAATTGTTTTATTTGCAAAGAAATGTTTTGCTCTCTGGCAACATGGTCACCAACTACCACCAATCAGCACGCTGCATGTCTGTAAAATGCTTTCTGTCTGTTGGAAAGGCCAAGAACAGCAGCAGCCAGGATGATAGTAGCTGACATCCATCCCGTCCTGGAGGTCTGGGCACATCGCTGGGGCTTCACATACGTGCTCTTATTATATTTCATTTGCACCACAGGCCTTGCGGGGGAGACTCTGTCATGAGCCCCAATTTAAAGACACGTGAGTCATAGTGAAAGCCCAGGAGCTGCCATGTTGTTGGTGTTACAATCAGGGCCTGGCACCCTGCCAAGGACTTGATATAAGTTTGCGTAGTTAATCCCCCAGTAACCCTATAAGATAATACTAAAATCGCTAGGACTTCCCGCGTGTCAAGCACTGTCCTAAGTGCTTCATATATATATATCCTCATTTAATCCTCATATCAACATCTGGGACAGGTCCTTTTATAGTCTCCATTTTCAGATGAGGAAATTGAGGCACAGAGAGATTAAAGCATGGCCCAGGGTCACACAGTTAGAAGAAGGAAAGAGATTCTGAAAGCTGTGCTCTTAGCTATGACACTGTACGGCCTCCCATGACAGGTGCTCATATCCCTATTTTACAGATGAGAGAACTGAGGCTCAGAGAAGGACTTACCTGGGTGTGTGATAACCTAAGATCTGATCACTGGGCTGTCTTTCATTAGCCCACGCTGCCTCATATATGAATGTTCCTGGCCCCCTACAACTTACAAGGTACAACCTTAGGTACTTGGCTTCTTACTAATTTCTTTCCTGTTGGCTGGGCTGGTCTCATCTTCAGAGGAAAGACACAGTGGATTTGGCGTTGGCGGTGCCAGGCTAGATAACGCACAGGGGCGAGGAGCGGCCCACAGCAGCCCAGCGCTGTACACAGAATAGGGTGCTCATGCTCTGGACACCCCAAGTGGGGCGTAGGAGTGGAGGCGGTGGAGTCTGCCATGCATATTCCTAGGCCCCACCCACAGCCTCTGACTCCGCAGGCCTGGGTGGGGCCCTGGAGTCTGTATTTCCTGGGTGAGTGTTGCAAGTGGTCCTGGGACCACAATGTGGGCCTCTGGCTCCAGAGGAAACAGTGAGGACGGTCCAGCAGCAGCCTTCAGAAGAGGACAAAGGAGAGGAGGCAACATGGAGGCAGGTCACAGGAAGCACTCGGCAAAGGGCTGGGGGCTGGGTCAGAGGGTGAGGATGTAAAGGTCTCCCCAAATATGTAACACACGGGGGGCTTCATGGCCATCAGAGAGCCCTCTGTGTTACCCAGGGTTGTGGGCTGAGCACCGAGCAGGGCTCTCCGCTTCCTCTGATTCAGGTTTTGAGATGAATGAAAGGACCACAGCTGGTGACATCACCTGTCAGGCTGCTCCCTCCTTGCCACATCGGGGTCACAGGGTCCCATGAGGGTTTGCCAGGTGGTGAAAACGTCCTCAGTGCCCTCACTCCTGGTGAGGATCAGAAGGTGGCTTGGTCCACTGCACATGTGATGTACCAGCTTCTCAAATGCCTCCTGGAACAGCAAGGGGAAACGGACCCAGGGCAGAGGCCCTGGGCCTGCAGAGGGTCAGGGGGCCCACCCCACCCACAGGATGGGAGGGGTCTGTGGGCAGCCGTGCCACCAGCCAGCATGCCTGTGGTGGTGATGCCCTACCGCACCCAGAGAACCCACATACAAGTTAAAGGCAGGAAAACGAGAATTTGAGTTGGCTTATTTTTGGTTGAACATGAGATGATAAAAAATTAGGTAGGGGCATTTGAAAGACCACATATATGGAAATCATGTGGATGCCGGATAACCAAGGGGTGGGATGTAGTTAAGACTTTTTTTTATAGTGCCTTGCAACCCTTCCCCCTTCTTCATGTAACAGCACTCTGGTTTTCTTTTGGGAAACAGCCCTTCCCCATTGCACGTGGTCCTAGTCTGACTGACAACCATGATGCCTTTTCACCTCCACCCCCACCCACACAGCTGTACACACACCTCACCTGAGAGGTGGGGCTGTGACCTAAGCTAGGCTAACCAGACCCTCCCTCCCAGCAGGTGAGTCATAAGCAGACGCAAAGGGACAGTGGCAGCAACTAAAGGGACTGCCCATGAGGTTTTGCTCCTGAGGTCCCTAAAGCTGTCATGGTTCTTCTCCCCAGCATCTTCTGTTCAACTCCCTTCAATTCTCTTCCTTTAGTTAATTCTGGGAGTATGGAGTATCGTTCCAGCAAATTACTTGTTTCATTACTTAAGACAGAGTCAAAATCTCTTCCTTGCCACCAAAGAACTTTTACCTGATACAGCCTATAATCATTCTGAGAGCAAATTTACAGCTCAGTTGCTGTTCATATTCTTCTTCTTCATAATACTATATTTTCTCCCAAACTAGTATCAGCCTATAAACATGATGTTGGAGAAAGAAAGAAATGAATGTGTTGGATGTACGGAAGCAGATGAGCTGACCTCTCCAGCCCTGTGTTGGTAGAAGAGTCGCACTTCTGCTTCTCTCATGGTTCTTTCTTCATTTGTTAAGATGTCAAACCCAGCTTCTTGGATCTGTAGAATATATATATATATATATATATATATTTATATATGTGTATATATATGTATATATACACATATATAAATATATATATGTGTGTGTGTATATATATATATATATGCATATTCTGAAAGTGTAAATCAAGCCCAAATCCATATTTACATGTGTTGAAAAGTAAAGGATAATGGAAAAAGCAACATTAAAAACAGTGAATACCCTCATCTTCATCATATCTGTCCCAGTTAGATTTAAGATTTTTAGTTAAGTGGAATTTTGGTTAAAACTCCTTAGAAGCCTTCTCTTCCCACCAGGACCCTGGTAAACGATGCCCCACCCGTTTTCCCACCAGAGAAGACATAAGAACAGTCCATAGGGTAAGTGTTGTGTCTCTTACCTTCATAATAATCTCATCGGTCTTTCCATGGGCCACTGCATCTGGTTTAATGATTGCCAAGGTACAGGACTTCTCTGATGAAACTGCAATAAGCCAAGGATGGTGCTGTCAGATGCTGGGCTCCCAGCACCCATCTTTGAGGTTCCCAGGAGGCCATTCTCAGGGACCATGCAGCCTCCGCACACAGCCCCCAGGGCTCCCTGGCCTGGCCTCCTGACTGTGCCCCTGCAGACATGGACTCGAGTGGAGGCAGGGGTCGGGCTCCAGACCTCAATCTCAACCTGGCTGGAAGGGACAGAGACATGCAGGGAACACAAACCTGGGAAGGAGGGGAGGCGAGGAGAGGATGGGAATCAAACACCACTCAGGAACAGAAACCCAGAAACAACGGGAAAGAGTTGGCCTGCAGGGGGAAGAGGTGGGGAGCTGGCACAGAGGAATGTAGCACAGGCCACTCTTGTCCCTTCCTGTCACCCTCATGATTCTTGGCCTCTAACTGCTGTCCACTGTGTTCTCCTCTCACTCTGCTGGCTCCTTTGCCAATGCTTTTTTTTCAACTTTCCATGTGGCCAATAATGGCCGTCCTAGGCCCTGAGTCTACATGACTTTGCAGCGCCAGCACCTACAACCAAACTGCAACTTCAGCCTTCTCTGTCTCAATTCAAATTCTCCTGCGAGAAGACCAGATTGGCCAGCTCGTTGTTTGGAGCCAAAGCATCAGTCGTAGCTCACTGACCAGTCTACCAGCTGTCCTCTGGTCAGTGTGCATGGGTCCAATCAGCTGTGGCGCTAAGGGAGGTGCCACATGATTGTACTCTGCTCAGGCCCGCAGAAGCTGTAGGGGGTCCAGTGTCCAGTCCATGAGCCCATCCCTGTTGTATTCCTGTTTGTACGAACTTGGCCTTGGTGAGCTACCTACCCTCTCCACAGGTTCTGTATCCCCATAGCCTATATTCTGTTCTCAACTTTTATATCAGTGCGTTGCAATGAAACGTCACAATATCTGCCTCTGAAAATCTTAAAAACATGTGTAAATCATTTTAAGCAACAAATCCAATCCATTTTTCTGTGAATACTATTTCTAACATCCTATGAACACTTAGATTTTTAAGGGACTCTTACAGTAAATTTCCTTATAAATTAACCAATGAGTGAGATCAGCTAGGGGTGTCAGGTGAGAAGAGAAGAGGCCAGAGCAGGGTCTGGAGAACTCCAGCTTAAAAAGGGAGCAAAAGAAAAGAAGCCAGTGAAGGGGAGGCTGAGGAGAGGCCAGAGACACAGAAGGAAAATGAAGGTTCGTGAAACCAAGAGAGAAGAGGGTTTTGAGAAGGAAGACATTTTGACATCATCCAAGTCTACAGAAAGATGCTGTAGGATATATAACTGGAAATTGCCTGTTGGGTTTGGCACAGAGAAGGTCCCTGGTGCCCCAGTGAGCATCAGTTCAGGGAGAAGCTGGCACATAGGCCAGGTCAGCAGGTCCAGAGCCAGAGCACAGGTGGGGCGGCCCAAGGAGAATGGCTCAAGTTCAGGATGCTCAGGTGGAGAAGAGGACGGCTCAGGGCAAAGGCGGGGTTTTGTTGTTTTCCAGGTGGAGAGATTTGATTTGAGAGGAAATAACCGAGGAGGGCAGAAAGAGGAGATCACCCAAAAAGCAGGCGACAGATGTTTCCTGTGGAAGCCAAATTGATGATTTTCCTTTTCACACGTGAAGTTTCTTGCTCTCCTAAACTGGGCCTCTTTCCTCGTTAGAATCCAACTCAGAAAAGTCCTCATGATGTACACACAAATAAACGGCCTTTCTACTTCACGCAATAATCACTCTTCCTTCTCTTTCCAACTTGGTTCCTGAACTTAGTCCTGGTGTCCCTGGCTTCTCGTGACCTTCCCTTCGTCCCAGCAACAACTTTGCTACCTTCTGGCTTCTCTTCACACTGTCAGGTCAAGTTGTTCTTCTCCTAGTGGAGGTTCAGGAAGAAGAACTGGGATGCCCAGGAGTGTGGAATCCACGAGCTGATACTTGGGGAATAAGGGAAAGCGGGTGCGGGGCTGCGGGGAGGGAAGGTGTTCAGTACAGCTGACTTTCTGACACTTGAGGACAAAACAGGTGAAAAAAAGAAACTTGAGCTCCTTAGCTCAGATAAGGACTAAGGAAACACCAGCATCATTACTTTACATTATTAATGTCACTACCTTTCGTTTTATTAAATGGAGCTTTTCCTGATGCCCGGTAATTGCCATGAAAGTCACACTTGTTATATTTGAACATGATCAGAAAGCTGCGAAAAGTGCCCGGCATGCCAGTCAAGGGCAGAAGGGGGACCTGACACTGTGTTTGAAGTCAGGTGCCTGGAGACAGAATGTTTTACAGTTAATCTTCCCAGAGTTCAGATTGCTCAGTAAGTTGATTACTCCCATATATTTTTTAAAAATATATCAAATCTGAGTCTGCTTTGCTTTTTTGCCCTGCTTGTTGGTTCTACACTCACCCACATCCTCCTCTTCACCATCGTCCTTTTGGTGGGAAAAACGCTCATCTTCATCAGAAAGTGCCTCATCTTTAATCTAGTACGGATTGATCATGAACAGAAAGTCGTTAGCTAATTACAGTTCCCACAGAGACCTTCAGAAACCTACAGAAACCAAATAAGTAAAGGCCCAAAATACAAAACAAATAAAGGTCAGGGTTATCAGTCTTGGAAACAGCAAGGTCCTTTCTTGTAGCTGAGTGAAGGTGGGGGTGGGGAGGACGTTCAAACACAAGGAATTCCATGCTGATCTTAAAGTTTAGATTCTGCCTGTTTTCAAAAACATCGAGCAGAAACTAAGGAAAAAGAGAGACAAAGTAGAGAGTTGGCAACAGGACAAAGGAAGAGTTGAAATGCAAGGAAATACTGAGTGACTGGCTACACAGCACAAGGAAATAAAGAGAGAGCTCGTTTTCCCCTGGAGGAGGCCCAAGCATTTGTGATTGTCTTTTGGGGGGTAAATTGCCAGTTTTCTGAGGGGGGAAATATGGTTTGATTCTAGTCCATTGTATAAAAACAGGCTTTACTATTTGGAATTGAATATGAAAACTTGAACAATGAACATTGAACAAGGTTAAGGCTTGTTTGGCAGATGCTCAAAGCACCAGGAAATACCTCTCTCTACCTAAGGAGGTGTGTCGCTTTTCAGAGGCAGCCAATTCGTTGTCTGTGTTATCATGGAAGTAATTTACCAAAATCACAATGGTCATGACAGAGCTCAATTTCTAAATTCAAGACATGAACCCTCTGCAATCACAAGTAAGTCACCAGGAGAGATTTCACTCTGAGGCCAGAGTTCTACCTACCCGCTATGTGATTCCACAACTTTATTTTCATCTCTGAATTCATTGTCAGTGATCCAGAAACCCGTTACCAGTTAAAGTGGGGGATGCATGGGAAATGGATAAAAGAAGTTAAAGCTTTCTGGATGAAGGCGATGACTTTTGAAAAGAAGGCTGCAAAATACATATGTGTCATAGTGACCATAGCACTTGCTCTCCCCTGAACTCTCAGTGAGGACCTGAGTGGGCATTTAATGAAGCTTCCAGCTGACAGCTCCAGGAAAATTAATGGGGACGGGGAGGGAATGGTTGGCCTCGCCCTGGGAGCAGACCTGTGAGTTTACTGCTTGCAGAAGTGACCTCCTTACCACTTTGCGTTCTCCGCCTTCAGCCAACACTTTCTTTTCGGCGTCTAGCTGGTCTAGGATGGTTTTCTGCAGCAGTGGGGCGTTTGCTCCTCTAACCACAGCCACCAGCTCTCCTCCCTGGAATACAGTGCGCTGCTCAAGCTACATGAAACCCTCTTCCCAAATATTAATCTCTTTCAAGAGCCAGCGAGAGTGTCCAGGAGCTTTGTTTAGCAATGTGCCCGAGGTCAAGGTCAACCCCAGGCCCACAGCCTCCATCCACTTGTCTGCCTTCTACCCCGTGCCTCTCCTTTCAAAACTTCCTTCAGGGCAACAGGGAGTTAGTTAAGGAAGGGACACGGCACACAAGGTTGTGAGTGACGAAGTGTGTCCTGTCCATGACTCATTCTTTCAACAAGTATCTATTGAGCACTTACACTGCCAAGCATCAGTCAGAGGCAAGAGCAGGAACACTAAATGTGGAAAGACATACGGTCAGACAATTAAGTTCACAAAATCATCCTAGAAAAAGTGCTACATATCTTCAAAGGTCACCTTCGAAGTACTCCCTTTGGGAAGCTATGCACCAATGCCAGTGCCTAGTTCACCCTTCGAAGCAATTTGGGAACTTTTTTTCTGGAATGGCCTTTTTTCTGGAAAGGGCTGTCATTGTATTACCCCTGATGTCCTGAATGTCATCAAAATGTCTTCCTGTCAATGTTTCCTTTATCTTTGGGTAAAGAAAGAAGTCACTGGGGGCCAGATCAGGTGAGTAGGGAGGTGTTCCTATACAGTTATTTGTTTACTGGCTAAACACTTCCTCACAGACAGTGCCATGTGAGCTGGTGCATTGTCGTGATGCAAGAGCCATGAATTCTTGGCGAAGAGTTCAGGTCATCTAACTTTTTCACACAGCCTTTTCAGCACTTCCAAATCATAAACTTGGTTAACTGTTTGTCCAGTTGGTACAAATTCATAATGAATAATCCTTCTGGTATCAAAAAAGTTAGTAACATCGTTGCAACAAGTTCGCAAACTTAATTGTCAGACCACATAGTCACCGCAGTCAGTGAATGGGAAACCCAGTGGGCAGAGAAACAATTACATTAGAGTAAGACCATTGCTTTAATAGGCAAATGTACAGAATGCTTGGGATTCTGGGCAAGACTGGATTCCCAGCTCTGTCTCAGACGATCAGGTGGAGGTGGTGTTTGGGGTGATCCTGAGTTTCCTGGTTCAACTTTTCCAGCAATCTCTATGCATGTTACTCACAAAGGAGTGACCTGGAGAGGAAGACGCTCACCTAGAGTGGGTCTTCTTCCATTTCCATCCCTCCCCTCAGGGGACCACCACAGGCTGCGAGATTGTGATGGAGCCTGTCGGCCAGGCACATGTTCCAACACAGCCAATTATGATGATGCTTTAATCACTATGGGCTCAAGCAAGCAAACCACTGTGGCAATGATCCCTTTTCTGCAACTGTGCCCCATGTCAGTTTGGCTGTAGGGCATGTTCATCTCAACTCCTTCCCATTTCTCCTTCCTGCCTCCACCCACGTTTCGTCATATAACCATTCAGTCTCCCTACTAAAATCCAAGGCTCAAATAATGTTTTATCATAAGCTTCCAGTTTATAATACTTGCAGTGCTGAGGGCAGAAACCCAAAGGTTTCCAAACTAAACAATCAGGGCGTAGCTATCAGGAGACCTGGGGAGTGGGGTTGGGGGTTGGCCCCGGTTTTCCTGATGTGTGATGAGGGGGCTGGACTGGATCAGGAGGAACATATCAATTAGTTACCTTCAGGGCCTGGCAGGTGACCTAAACCTAGGAAGCCAGGTGTGACAGGGGCCCTGAGGGTCATGGAGCCACAGCATGGATGTCACACCCAGAGACATCCAAATTACCTTGGAAACACTGATCCACTTGGCTTTCCCCAATAGTCCCTCTCTTTTCTGACTTTCAATAAACATATCTTCACATTTTATGAATCCATAAAGGTGAATGCAGAGCTTGTCCACCCCACAAAGGAGTATTCGTGTTTGCTGGAAATTCCTCTCTACAGCGTGAAGGAGAGAAAGCTTGAAACTCTGCTCTGAGAGTGAAACCTCAGTCAAGAGTGTGTGTGAGCGAGAAGGAGCATACACATTGATGGCTCCTATTCTGTACAGCCAGTCAGGAAGGCTGCCCAAGCCCAGAGTGACCCCGGAGCTGTGTCATCCCCTCCCCCACTTCCCTGCCCGCAAGCAGTGACCTCAGGCTGCCATCCCAGTCAGGGGCCTGCATTGCCATGACTTAAGGACATTAAGCCAAAATAAAGACAGTCAAGGAGAAAACCACATCACTTGTTTGAATCAGCGAGGCCCTTTGGTGACTCTCAGTGAGAATTAATGCCATTGAGACTCATCTATTTGAACTCTAATGATCTGCAACCATCAAATAGTTCTGGGTCTGAAAATGTACTTACTGCGTAAAACAGGAAGGTTGGCTCACACTTCCCGCGGTATTTTTCGAGGACATCAAGACAGTCTGCCTCTGCCTAGAGCAAACAAGCTTTCAGCAGGACCCTGGGGCACAGTGGGTACAGGGGCATGATGGCAGAACTGCACAGGACAATACACACACACCAACACACACACCACACCACATCACACCACACACACACACACATATACACCACATACACACACACATACGCACCACACCACATCACACACCACATATACACACACACTCCACACATATCACATACACACACACCACACACACACATCACACACCACATACACACACACACATACACACACATACACACCACATCACACACCACACACACACACACATATACACCACATACACACACACATACGCACCACACCACATCACACACCACATATACACACACACTCCACACATATCACATACACACACACCACACACACACATCACACACCACATACACACACCACACACACACAGCACACACATCACACACACACACACGTGTGTGCGCGCACACACACATCACACACACATACACACCACATCACACCACACACACATACCACACATGTGCGCGCGCACACACACACACACACACACACACACACACACACACACACACCGTGACTGCTCTCCCAGGTGAAGCTCTGGCTTGCTCTCATGCTTCTATTGTTTTTTCATCAGAATCATAACAACCGTCCTGTCAACATTTGGGCAAAAATTGTTGGCAGCCACTTTTTGAAGACTACGATGAGAAGGAAGCATGGTTTCTCCTGTCCCCCAGCCCGCTACTCCTCCAGCACCGGGAGCTCCACATTCTAACATCCTACAGCTGCCACAACTGCAGCCACCGAGGTGGAAGGCCCTCAAGCTGCCTTCCGTGTCTGAGAAACGCCGTACATGGACTTAACGAGTCCCCGTCCAGGCATTTCTTCCGCACACTCCACAGGAAGCATCAAAACTGACTCCCGAGGGAGGAAGAGCGAAGGCCTTGAAGCCAAGCTTGTTGAGAGATTAGCATAAGGCATGTTTTCTCCTGTGTTGGGTCTGTGAACCCCAAACCTGGGCAGCACACCGAGTGTCTCTTGCACACTTCTCTGGAATGTATCACCACTCCCATACATTAAGCCAAGTACATGTTTGCTAAAAGCTCCCCTTTATGGAGCAGAGGATAGAAACCCTGCATTCTGAAAGTGAAACGTCAGAGTTCCCAGTGTTCGTGAGCCAAGAAGGAGCACATGCACGTATTCTGTCCCCGCATACAGCCTCCAGAGGCTGCCCCAGCCCAGAGGGGACTGTCAGCGAGGAAGCTTCATCTCTAGAGAAATTATGAAGCATCAAGACTGAAACCAAAAAATTCCACAGCTGACGCCTTTTCAATGTGCTGGAAAAAGGCAGCTCAAGCTTCCTGTTCCTGTTTTTCAGTTTTTAATTTTCTTTTACAATGCTCTGTGCCCTTCTGCTGAGAGAGGATCTTACCAGTGCAAAATGCAGGAGGTCCAGGCCCACCTCGATCCTCATCTTCTGGAAGAGGCTGACCACGGGTTTACAGGGGCCACACCAGCCTTGATAGACATCGACAACTGTGTGGAACCAGGAAGCAGGAACGTGCAGTGAGCATCAGCACCCACTAGGTCAGGCCAAATTTATCCCTGCATGTGCTAACGCCCTCAGATGGATATATGTTTGCAGGGCTATTAATGGTTCCAGGAATTTATTATCCCATCAGATTACGAGCAAGCACAGAAAGACAGTTATCCCTCACTCTTAGTAACTCAGTGTTCTGAATTCTAAACATAACGAAGAATCATTTTCTTAACATGGAACCTTTACCCTAAGGAATTTTCAGGCTACATTCGAGGTCAGGCCTAGCCCAGAGTGGCCCTCAATAAATATTTGAGTTGGACTGAAACCATCTATTCTGAAAGGAGGGAGTCACGGGAGGTGACCTGTCAGCATACAATCAACTCTTAGCTACTTTGGTAATAAACACAGATTTGACCTTTCTCCTCAATGAATTAAAAGCCACTTGCTTTCGGTAAAGGGGAGTTTTATTTACTCTATATAGTCAACATTATTTTCCTGGAAAGTGAACCTGATAGAGACCTAGGTGGAAACTTGGATACCTTTTTCCTCTTTGGTCCCAATCTGTGGAGTGTGCCAGGGCTGGGTGTGAAGGAACCCCTCGTCTGCACTTGACCATGAGGCCTGTAAGAAGCTAGGCCAGCTCGTGTGCACTGGATACATATGGGACCTGCCCAGCCCGATCATGAAGAGACAGCAAGTGCTAAATTGTGATGCACCCACGGTCACATGTTAAAGGAAGGGTGTCCTCCAAAAACCTCAACACTCAGAGGTCGTGCCAAATTCACACAGGTGGGCATTTCTGTTCAGCAGCTTGCATGGCACAGTTACAGGGAGATAATATAGACACTGTTTATAAACTATCAGGACTGCCAAGTTTCATAGCATGCAGTTTGTGATTTTATTTTTTGAAGATTCACTTCACAATTTTCACATCGTGTGAGAACTATTAATAAAACAATATAAATTATCATTATTAAAATTGGCATTGGGCCGGCCGAGTGGCGCGTTGGTTAACAGCTAGCTTGGGACCCCAGCTCTGAGTAGCAGGGCCATGGTTC